CATTCCTGCTTTTTTCTTGACTGTTTGAAAATTTTAATGTAAATATAAAAATAAAATTAACAACGAAAATAGTTATCTGCCTTTCATATATATTGTAATTTAAGTTTATTTTTTAGTGCCTTTCAAATCATTACAAAATAAGCCTTTCTTTATTTTAAACACTAACTGAATTTTAATTACAAAATTTTTTTAAAAAAATCTGTAAAATTTTAGCCACACGTTGCTGGCTTTTTTCGTAATTTATTTAATTCCACCAAATAAGCAGAAATAAAATTTCTTCGACTAAATATGAAAAGAGTATAAAATTTGGGCAAAAAATAAATGAATCACCTTAAGCGAAATTAAAAAAAAAGTTATTTATGTTCCGCGTTTTTATATGTAAACAAGTATACACAAAAGTTTTTATAATAATTATTTTTTTTTCTTCAATAGAGTCAAAAAGTTGTTAAGCGTTTGATAATGATTAAATTAAAAATAAAATTTTTTTCTTGCTAAATTTAAAAACGATAATGTTGAAAAGGTTTAAGATTTTATAATAGAATTCGCTGGCTTTTATATCTAAATGATAATAAAAAAGCTAAAATATAATTCAATCAATATGTATGTTTATCATGTGCTAATAATAACTAACATAGAGTAGCACGATTCCTACTTTCCGGACATGTCCATTTGACAAAGAATTTTAGTTAAGTCAAGTATTATGAACAACTTTTTCCACTACTTTTTTCAATATGTGAATATAGCTTAGCCTTTTCGATATGGGGTCTTAAAATTTTAACTTTAGCTTAGAAACTATCAACAACAAACAGACGCGCCATCTGTCGTATCTACCTATTGTGGCCCGTTGTTTCTATAATCAGTGTAAGAATTACATGTAGTAGCTCACATTAAATTACTATTGTAGATTTTGTTGTTGTAATTAATGAAACAAGTGTCGAATGTTGACATATTCATCATCATTACCATCTGTGACTATACAGTCGATGTAGAATCTAAGCCTATTTAACAACAGTCTTCCATTTTTCTCTGCTTTTTGCTTTTGTTTTCCAATTTCTTATGTTCAATTCTTCTAAGTCCTGCTGCACACTGTGTTTCCATCATTTTCGTGGTCCCCTCTTCTTCTGCTGGTTCCTACTTCGTTCTCATATATCTTAAGCGATACTCTCATATCCGGCATTCTTATCACATATCCAACCCGTCTTAATCGCTGCTTTTTCATAAATTTGTTGTTTGTATCATCTTTATCTGGCCGTTCTAGCTCGTGGTTGTATCTTATGCGATACATCCCGTTTTCTTTCACGGGGATGTTGGCATATTGCATAGTGGAAAAAGTTACGCCAAATAATCCATATGGGCATGATGGGAAATCGGTATCGTGCCTATGGAATACATATGTAAATGTATTATATGCATATAAAAAGTTCATGTGTAATATTAATATATGTACCAATATATATTAATATTAGTGCTTATTCTGGATTGTCTATCACTGATAGACAATAGAAAAATTTCTATCGTTAATAGACTGATATGGTGAACTACAAACCGATATAAATTTTTCTATTAACAGTAGATAAATTTGTCTTTTGCGTTTAAGCAATGGACAGTTTGTCGATCAGATTAAATAAATGCTGTTGACAAGCTATATGCAGTCAATTTAACGTATAAATTTATTATAATTTTTGTTTATTCAATAGTTAGTAGCAATTCGACGGGAATTGAAGCTACACGCTCTAAAACCCTTACATAAATCACAAAAGGTGCACATGTTTATCGATCAAGTTGCATTATACGAAATTTTCCTATCAATCGAATCAGTAGACAAATATCTATTGTCTATTAATAGAGATAATAGCCACTATTGTCTTAACTTCAAATTTATAAATTTATGCTGTGTTACCGCTATACCTATATATAGATTGAAATATCTTATATCTTTTATTTTTTTGATACCATTGAATACCTCACAATACCTTTGACCGAATAATGATCAAAATAATTGTTTGCAGTTTTTTGTTTTAGAAGTTTTGTACTGTTTTTTCTCTTCTAAAAATAAGTCATTTGCACCTTTCAAAAGACAAAATTTCCTTTTTCACATATTGTTATTATTTAACCAATAATTATAATTTAATCAGGAACTACAGTTTTTTTTTTGTGCTGTTTTTACTCATTTTTATTACGTGTCATTACACTTTTAATAAATTGTCAGTTTCGTTTTGGATCATTCTTCTCTACAATATCACCGGTCGGGCGACCCTATGAATTGCATGCCACTGCAGCGTATAGAATATCGTTATTGTTTCTATTGTTCTTGTTGTCACCGCAGCCAAAACTGTTGTTGTAACCGATAGAGATCTTTGTTGCTGTCTGGAAAGACGAATAACACTCGCTTATAGACCCTGCCATTCTATAAATCTGTAAGATCATATGGTTGGTGTGTGGCATCAGTCATTAAGTTGGATTTGCAAATTTCTATTTCTACATTAACACTCAACTAGTTAGTTATTCGTTACAGATCTTTGCTATTTGAAGGCATAGATCCCCTTATTGTAAATATATTTTTCAGTCATTTATCAACAAAAGTTTGTCATCCGACATTACTTTAATTACTGTTGCGATGAACTATATTTTTGTGATATACAAAAGATTTTACGGGTACATTATATAGGTTTTAAGCCATTTTAAGATTCCTTGTTCAATTTTTACAATGTGGTTACGACTTTTTGCATATGATAAAATAGGAAGTGGGAGTCCTTCACTTCACTGATTAGTTAAGTAAAATGTTCAACATTTGTATACTTCGGTAGTGTTAGCTGTCACTTTGTCATGTGTATTTTCCAATTTAAGATAAATTAACTGCATGTCTGAGTGAAGTGAAAGAGTTTATTTTATAATCAATAAACTATAATTTTTATAAACCAATTAATTATATATTGTAGTATATGCAAATTCGATACATTATATTCTGAATATGTACTTAAATAGTAATTGTTTTATTAAATGAATTATTCTGAAGTTATTAATATCTTTTGTTTTGTAATCAATTCACGCAAACGGGTGGCTTCTGGTTTTCACTATCATATTCAGTTATTAGGTTCTTATTTATTATTTGTTTTTATTTATATGTAAATAATACTAAATTGCAGCTTGCATTTACTTATCGACAATTAAAACCAAATGCAGACAATCAAGGTTATCTGAATGAAATTCAAGTTACTGAAAAATGCGGTTAAATGCCATGGTACAAAAAGCGTTCTAGATATATTTACACTACTATTTTTATTTTTATTTATTCAAATATGAATTTTTATTTAAATCTAAACCTAATGGCTTGAAAATCTCATGCAATGAATTCATTCAATTTTAAGATATTTTACTCATTTAAATTCCACATAGTTAATAATGTTGTACATATAATATATGTGTTATATACTATTGCAATAATATGTCAACTCATTATTGTGTAGGTATCTCCAAAAATTATGACATCACTCTCCTTTAATTGAATGTATATCATATTCAATTACTTGTATATAATTTATGTCAGGGCTGCGTAATTGTCAGGTTGTATAGTATTTCTCAGATATAATATGTTAATGTCAAAGCTGGGTACCGTTTTCAACTATAATGATTCAATCCATTATTTGATGGATGATGTCGAACGCTTTGGTTGGCAAAAGTGGTGATAGCACCGTATAGCATCAAAAAAATCCACAAAATCATTTTAGCACATCTTAAAGCGAAATTGCTGGAGATAACTGGTACTTTAAAGACCTACAACAAAACTTTTTTTTGTTGATTATATTCAATTGCACCTAGTTAAAAGAAAAACTAATTAGCAATACTCTTAAGCCGTCGTATGAGGTTTTCTGCTTGAAAGTGTGATAGAGCTTCTGCGTTACAGTGAACTTCAATTCTTTTTTTATATGTTTCAGCCTTAAGCGTTATTATTTCCGAAACCGTCGGAATATCAAAGAAACATAACAGTTATTTAGCTTAATTAAAACTAAATAGCGTAAAAATACCAGTTGCTAATTCTGCGAAATATCTGGGCATGAGCCTAGATGCCAAACTAAGCTGGAAGGTACACGTCTAGAAAAAATTAACTGAGCTAAACATAAGATATAAAAAGTTAACTTGGCTTATTGAAAGGAGATCTAAAGTATCTCAGCAAAACAAACTTATGATCTACAAACAAGTTTTCAAGCCGGCTCTATGGTTTCCAAATTTGGGGTTGTGCAAAAAATCATATTATAGATATGATGCAAAGGTTCCAAAATAAAGTACTCAGAGATGCAGTTAACGCTCCGTGGTACGTGTGAATTGTTGATCTACATCGTGACCTTGAAATACCTACTGTCAGGCAAGAAATACAGAAGGCTGCTAAAACACATTATGACAGGCTGAGTCAACACTTAAACATTTTTCACAAATGTGTTCTTCCAGTATTTTGGCATATTACTTAACAATAGCATTCTTTAACGAATCTGCACTGCCATATTGTTTAGTCCTAATCCTAACCTTGCTCTCCAAAATGACCCAGATGGAATAGTCCATGATTTTTTAAATATTCTTGGTTGACACGAGCTTTATGAGATCGAGACCAGTGCCGAATCTTGTTGGAGAGTCCATGGTCTATGACCGAAAAGTTTGCGTGTCCACAGCTCTAAAGCAACTTACAAAACTTTTTCCCGATAATAAATTACATTGACTTTAACACCAGGCTCCAACAGGTCTTTTCTCATCAGAGAACACAATAAATATTTTTTTTTATCTCTCTTCATACCTTACAGGTATCATAAAAGCAAGTGTCCGTCAGGAGTTTCTTTCTTTTCACATTTTTGGTGCTGCTAGCCAGCATAATTTTTTTTGCTCACTGTTTGTAAAATATTTAAAAATGTGCCTATTCAATATTCATAATAATACATAATATTATATTATTTAAATATATATAACTGTTTAATTATTAAATAAATAATTTTTTGGATCCAAGAGTGATTCATTCAAAAATATATTTTTATGTTTAAATTCGCGTTTTTGTTCCTACAAGAGATTTATCAGCAAAACAATATTTTAACAACAAATTAAAGAACAACAATAGAATAAACTTAGTTCAAATTATAAATATTTTCTACTTATTTAGTAATTTTGCGTCCTGGAGTATATGTATTCGAAAAACTTTCTTCCAAGTTTGAATTTAGATTTTGTGAATATTTCATCATATATTTTCGTATATTCTTTCTCATTCGTTGGATTTTGCGTTTTTTTACATATGGTCCAGCCCGGCATTCCGCATAAATAGAACTTATCTCATATTTTTGATTTAATGCTTCATTGAAACATACAACCTTTTTTGGAGCTGAAGGTGATCGCTGTTGTGCCTTATTTTGATTACCTCCCATCAAACCGTCCCCATCAGTTAAGTTACTAGGTTGCCTTTTAACAAGTATCGAATGATATTTTTTAGAATTTTCCTCTTCTTTTACACTAGGAAGATAGTAAAGATCATCAAAACTTTCATCATCTTCTTGAAACAGACTATTAATTTCGTCATGCAATTCCGTCTCTTTTCTTCTTTGGTCACAAGAAAGTTCATTGTGTCTTCTGTTTGAGGTAGTTGGATATTCCTGTTCATATTCTTCACTTTCCTCCGACACTGTTGTATTTTCTTCCTGACTTATATCTGTCCAAGATGTTTCGGAGTTTGTGGTGTCATACAAACTCATGCCCAACTTTTCAATCAGTAATTCATCAATATACTGTAGCATTTTATTCTGACCACCTGTTTTCCGAAATGCAGGAAATTTTGCACATTGTTCAAATTTAACTCTTCTATGATTTTGAGCAGGTTTGCATTTACAACGCAAAATAGGTTTTATATCACGTTTAGGTTTAGTATTGCATGGCATTGTCTGATGTTTGAGGTTACCATTTCTGTTTTTTCGTGGTATACATAGTTGTCCAGGTTTATTTTGCAAAGTTCGAGCACGATTTTCCTTAGGATTGCTATTGATAGTACATCGTTTTGATTGCTGTTCATTTGCTGTCAAGTTTTTCAATTTATTTTGTTTTTGGGCTTGTAACATTGGCCAACACTCTAAACATAATATTTTGTATAAAAGCGCCTCATCTATTTCCTGTTCTGATAGAGTTTCATATTCCTTTTGAATAGGATTTTGTTGAGAACATTTCGTCCTCATACCAGAAGTGTTATTCATGCATTGTTTTGAGCAATTTTCCGTGCCTGATTTTACTTTGTCTCTTTCAGGTTTAGCACCAAATTTTTCTCTTTCCTCACACATAAAACCATGTGTAGGTTGAGGATGAATTACAGCTCGAATAACGCGCTTGTGACAATGTTGACCTCCCTTTGGGAATTGTGTATAACTAGTAGTTCTTTTCCATTGCGGTTTGCTGATTCTTTTTTCTGACAAATCAGAGGAATTACATTCATTCCGACATTGTATTAAAGAACCCTGTACGTAATTGTTCTGACTTCGATATTGCTGTGGGGAGCAAGGACCGCCACAAGGCTCTTCTATTGCTTTGTTCTGCAGATTAGGCGCATATTGATTTTGACGTGGAAAATTCTGTTTTAAGGAATTTTGTCCACCCTCATATGGCAATGGTGCATTTGCTCCTGTAAGATCGCAAGGTTGATTTTGTTGGTTCTGATATTTTAAGGGCGGACTATGTTTAAAAGCATTTAGTTGATTAGGAAATGCTCTAGGTGAGTTTGATGTTGCACAAATGTTTACTGGCATATTTTGAGCTTTATATCCATTTTGATAAGTCAAATTGGAATCATGATTTAAGCAATTCAGCTGATTCTGATATTGAAATGGAAAATTTGAACCTCTAGATTCGGTTGCCCGTTTTGGTTGGTTTTGATATTGAACTGGTAAACTAGTTCTACCACATTTGCAAACTTGATTTTGCTGATTCTGATATTGCGAAGGTGAATTTGATCTTTTAGGACTGCAAACTTGATTTTGCTGACTCTGATATTGCGAAGGTGAATTTGATCTTTTAGGATTGCAAACTTGATTTGGTTGGTTCTCATATTGCGAAGGTGAATTTGATCTTTCAGGACTGCAAGTCTGATTTGGTTGATTCTGATATTGCGAAGGTGAATTTGATCTTTTAGGATTGCAAGTCTGATTTGATTGATTCTGATATTGTGAAGGTGAATTTGATCTTTTAGGACTGCAAACTTGATTTGGTTGATTCTGATATTGCGAAGGTGAATTTGATCTTTTAGGATTGCAAACTTGATTTGGTTGGTTCTGATATTGCGAAGGTGAATTTGATCTTTCAGGACTGCAAGTCTGATTTGGTTGATTCTGATATTGCGAAGGTGAATTTGATCTTTTAGGATTGCAAGTCTGATTTGATTGATTCTGATATTGTGAAGGTGAATTTGATCTTTTAGGACTGCAAACTTGATTTGGTTGATTCTGATATTGCGAAGGTGAATTTGATCTTTTAGGATTGCAAACTTGATTTGGTTGGTTCTGATATTGCGAAGGTGAATTTGATCTTTCAGGACTGCAAGTCTGATTTGGTTGATTCTGATATTGCGAAGGTGAATTTGATCTTTTAGGACTACAAACTTGATTTGGTTGAATCTGATATTGTGAAGGTGAATTGGATCTTTTAGGATTGCAAGCTTGATTTGGTTGAATCTGATATTGCGAAGGTGAATTTGATCTTTTAGGATTGCAAGTCTGATTTGGTTGATTCTGATATTGCGAAGGTGAATTTGATCTTTTAGGATTGCAAACTTGATTTGGTTGATTCTGATATTGCGAAGGTGAATTTGATCTTTTAGGACTGCAAACTTGATTTTGTTGAATCTGATATTGTGAAGGTGAATTTGATCTTTTAGGATTGCAAGTCTGATTTGGTTGATTCTGATATTGCGGAGGTGAATTTGATCTTTTAGGATTGCAAACTTGATTTGATTGATTCTGATATTGCGAAGGTGAATTTGATCTTTTAGGGCTGCAAACTTGATTTGGTTGATTCTGATATTGTGAAGGTGAATTTGATCTTTTAGGATTGCAAACTTGATTTGGTTGATTCTGATATTGTGAAGGTGAATTTGATCTTTTAGGACTACAAACTTGATTTTGTTGAATCTGATATTGTGAAGGTGAATTTGATCTTTTAGGATTAGGATTTGGTTGATTCTGATATTGCGAAGGTGAATTTGATCTTTTAGGATTGCAAGCTTGATTTGGTTGATTCTGATATTGCGAAGGTGAATTGGATCTTTTAGGATTGCAATCTTGATTTGGTTGAATCTGATATTGCGGTGGTGTATTTGACCTTTCAAACTCGGAAGCTTGATTTTGTTGATTTTGATATTGCGAAGGTATATTTGGTCTTCTAGTATCATATGTTTGGTTCAGTTGGTTCTGGTAATTGAGCAGTGGATTTGATATTCCAGGATAGCAAGGTTGATCCAATTGATTCTGATGTTGCTGTGATAAACAGGCCCTTCCAGGATCATAAGCTTGATTTGGTTGATTTTGATAATTCAAAGGTGCATTTGATCTTTCTGCAATGAAAGCTTGGTTCTGATACTGCAATGGTGGATTTGATCTTAAAGGAACACAAGATTGATTCTGAAATTGGGGTGGTAAACTTGATGTTTCACGATTGTATGATGACTTTTGTTGATTTTGATATTGTGGAGGTAAATTTTTTCTTTCACATTCGAAAGTTTGCATTTGTTTCTTTTGATATTGCGGAGATAAAGTTGTTCTTCCACATTCACAGGTTTGTTCAACTTGATTTTGATATTTCGGAAGTAGATTTGATCTTAAAGAATCATCAAATTGTTGCTGTTGATTTTGATACTGCGAAGATAAATTTGACGTTCCGGAATTGTGGAATGGATATTGTTGGTATTGTGGCGTTAATATTGTGCTAGGTTGCATTGGATTGTGATTAGTTCCATATTGGTTATTACATTGGATAAGATAATTTTGTTCGTTACTATTTTGTTCATAGTTACTTCTATTTTGGCATTGATATGAAACAATTTGTTTATAACCGTTTTGTTCATTTCGACATTGCATTGGAGAACCCTGTTCGTAACTATTAACGTTATTTTGACATTGCAACTGATTATGATCTTGACCTTGTTGCAGTGGAACGCCTCGTCTAAAACCATTGTATTCGTTTTGACATTGCAACCGAAAATCTTGTGAATTGTCTTCTACTTGTAACTGATTATGTAGTGGAGAACCGGGTCTCAAAGGACTTAGTTCATTACAATATTGCCATGAAATTTCAATTTGGGAAAGATTTCTTTTACTTGGATAATGTGTATATTCCTTATTTTGGTTATGTAAAGGAGGATGCAAATTTTTTTGATTACTCTGTTGAATTAATGCTGCATTAAATTGTGCAGGATTCTGTTGACTATAATATTCCCATACAAGTGCTACTTGGGAGAGATCTTCATGACATGGTTCTTCCAATGGAGGTAATTCTGAAAAATCATGTTGAGCGCACTTAGAATTAAAATCATATTGTTCTTCATATTCTTGCATTAATTTTCTTGAGGCTATTATGAAATTTGTCAGTTGAAGCTACAATTTATTTTATTAATACTTTGTTATATTTTTAAACCATATTGTTATAAAGAAAAAATATCAAACTTACATGCAAGGCTGTGCTCAATGTGACATGTTCCGCACATGTTTTTGGAGGATTCGCAATTAGCGTTGATAAAAAACATTGCACTTCGGCATACATGTCTTTTACAACTTTATAATGGTCTGAAAACTCCGTAGGGCAGTCCTCATCCTCCATATTAAAAAAGACTAAATTTTTCTTTAAGATTCCATAAAGTTTTTACTTCTCTTTTTTTAATATATATATTTTTTAAATACTGTCAATCTTCTTTTTTAGTTAAAACAAATCTATGTAATTTGACAGAAAACTCTATGGTTAGATATATTTTTGAAATTAAGGTTTTTTATATATTAAGGAAAACAATATTTAAAAAATTATATGAATGTGCCAAATCCACATTATATTATATTTCCATTTTTATCTTATCTAATATTTTCTTATATTTGTATTACGGTTTTTTACACATGACGTAAGTGTCTTCTACCTATTATTGACTAGCAAAAAAGAGTAATGGTAACTACTTCTCTAAACGGTCTCCATAGGCAGATACATAGGGGATAGATTCAGAGAATATAAATGATGATTGAAAGTAATTTCAATAAGTCGATTTAACCCGTCAATTTTCAGTTTGGCTTTTAAATTACTTTTGAATTTATGTTCAAGAGTCGAAGAGCATTAATTGCAGTTTAATAGAAATGAAGCATATCTGGAATTATCAGCTTTCATAAACATATTTCTCTGAGATTCGTTTGCTTGAAGACCAGTTGATGAGACCATTGTATGACGTTTTAACAATAGATTACTAATATTGTTTACAACTTTTTACGTTAATATATTTACATTAGATAAGTTCTTATCAAATTTATCTAATTTACGCATTCAATCGCTCGTTAACTAATTACACTGTCAACCAAAATCCATTAAAACTAGTATGTTATCAAGTTTGATAAGAAAATTGTGGAATTGGAATTCAAGTGAAAAAATGTATTAATATTTATTTATATAAATTTATTTGAAATTCTTTGATTATTGTGTATCAAATTAATTAAGACTTTGGTTGTTAATAATAATTTATTGCTAAAGTAAATTAAATTGTATATATTTTGTTTTTGTTTTTTGTATATAACCATTTTTTATATGGGTAGATTACAATTTCTGGTACACTGCAATTTGACGACGAATTTTTAAAGTTTGCCATTTTTAGTAACTTTTTCTACTAAGGATATAGCTTGGTTCTGGAGTTAATTTTTTACAATTATACAAATAGTATAAAAGCTATATCAGCAGTCTGTTTGTCATCGAGATTAGTAGAAGAATGTAAGGAAATTATCAGTGAACTAAGCGAGAGGTCCAAGGTTACTTTAGTCTGGGGTCCTGGGCATTCTAATATTGTAAAAAATGAGCGCGCTGACGTTGCTAAACTAAGCGCCTCTTTCAGGGATACTCCTATTTCGATCCCTGCCCCTGTCAGCTACGGTCGTAAGCTGATTTATGACCCTTTTTTGCGACAGGCAAATAGTGAGTGGACCCTTACTGCCTCAGCAGCCAGGTCAAGGGCTACTTGGCCAATCTATTCCAAATATAGAACCTCTGACTTAATCTGTAAAAACAAGTCTGAGGTATCTGAGCTAATATCTGTCTGTGTTTTCGGGACACTGGTCCATAGGACGGCATGGAGCTAGACTCGGCCTTTCCTGTTGTACCTCTTGTAGTGCGTGTCTACCACCTTTTGAAGAAATGACACCAGAACACCTAATGTGTCTTTGTCCAGGTCTGGCCAGAACTAGGTTTAAGTTTCTAGGGGCCCCCTTCTTCAACTCACTTAGCGATATCTCCAGCATTAGCATTAGCCAGATTCTTGCCTTTGTTAATGCCTCTGGCTGGTTCTAGTTTGACCCTCTAACTACTACCCACTATCACCACAGGTTTTTTGTGGATACAAAACGGCTTTTTCTTTAGCTAATTGAGGAGGACTCGTCCTCCTTCCACCACAACTAACTAACTAACTATACAAATAATAAATAGGTAAACCATTTAAGCACAGCTAGTTGCTTATTATGCCTACTTCTTGTTTGTACAATCAATCTAAAACGCTACAACTTTGAAGTCTGCTATCTCGAGTTCCAATATATTATCGACATATAGTGTAAGAATAGTAAGTATTACGAACTTTCAAAAAAAAAAAAAATCTTTCGTCACGGCGCGCTTGCTATCATTGACGTCTATGCAAAAGTTAAATCCCAATAAGTAAACAAGGAACAGTTCTTATATGAAAGACTTTTGAAATATTAAGCTTATTATATACATATTATAATTTTTAATCATTTATTTAATAATTTGAAATTAATTTCAGGGAGACTGGTGGTTGGCGCGAAGTAAGAAGACACGTCAAGAAGGCTATATACCATCGAATTACGTGGCTAAATTGAAATCAATAGAAGCTGAACCGTAAGTAACTTTTAATATTAATTATTTTAGTGAAATATGTACATTGAGTAAAAAAATACTTAAAAATTGGTCACCGATTTTATTAGTGTTATGTATTCTAAGAAAATTTGATAGATTTGCTATCGGTTTACCCCAAGAACCCTAATCGTTAATTTCAAAATAGGCTTTAGCTTCGTCAATAACTTCTTTATTTCTGCTTAATTTCTTTCCCTACAGTATCATTTTGATGCCTGCAAATACCAGTAAAATACTGTCTGGATGTCAGATTTGGAGGGTATGATATTTGCAATTCAAAGCGTAACTTATTCAATTTAACCATTGTGGTCATCGACTTATGACACATCAGGATATTGCCTTCGATATAACTACTTTTTCTTTCACATATGAGGGCATATGTTCCTGATTTTTACACATAATCATCCCAATAATTCAATGTAATATTTACTATTGATAGTTTATTTTTTTTCAAAATAATAGTTGACCTGTGCGCGTTTTAAAATAAGGATAATAAGAATCAAAACTTTTAACGTTTTGATCGCTTTGGATTACTTTTAACAGCTGATGTCCACTCTGATGTTCCTTTCGTTAAAGATATGTGGTAGGAAATGATGTTTCTACCATTGTCACATACTAATCCAATATAATCGATGAACTTAATACCATTCGCGTTCCGCAATGAGCTTGTCATAACTTTGCCAGCTTACTTTTGAGGTTTCGATCATCTTCGATGACTTCCAGGTGTCACGCTATCCACAGGTGGCTATCTTTTTGATGTATATTTGTTGCAGTAGGTCAGCTTTTAACAATTGTCATATACTGCCACAAAAATTATTTTTATCTTACTGGAATAGCTCCCAACACCACTCTGAAATATCAACGCATTATTGAGTTGGGTTCCGTGTGAGCAAACGCGATATCCACATCAAAAGAAATTTAAATATACTTATATATTTCTGATGTAATAATTATATTTTTTTTTCAAAATTTCACAAGGCATATATACTTTTCAACCAATTTTTTTTTAATTTACTTCATACGACTTATTTCCATTCATGCATTTTGTTCATCAAAAGTCATTAATTATCTATGTTAAAAATAGAAAATTTGCTTATATGTCTACACACCCACGGCTAAAAAGTTCAGATCGCGCTTCCATAAGTTAAAACTAAAGTTATTTTTTATTATAATTGTTCTTACTTCTGCTCTAGTATTGTCTCCTTTTTTGCAAGAACATATAATCCACTAACCACATATTCGCGAAACATGGACCTTTCTATTCTTCTAGGCCCAATAAAAATTACTTAAATCCTTATTATCTATAAGAATTATATTTTTAAATGATATAATTTGAAGTATCATTGTCTATATGTAGTGACAGTTTGATATAATTATTCTTACTTTTTTACAATACCAATTCTTTCTGATATTCGTTACTTTCATATGAGTAAAGTAGTCGGTATTTAAGTAGTCGGTTTTATTTGGTTTCGGATATCGTTACACTTAGGTGACTGGAACCTTAACAGATTTTATGTGTCGATCGTAGTATGAAAAAAGAATCGTATTTTTTATATACGGAAATTGGCAGAAATATTTTAATGTGAATAAATTTCGTTTCGTAGTTTCATTACTAATACTTCATGTTGAACCTTTACCGAGTTAGTGCAGCTGGGCACTTTTACTCTTTGATAGCTAGGGGGTTTCTACAGAGTCGCACCCTCCTTAATGACTAATTTATGTATTTCTCAAGAGCTTCGTGATTATTCGATGACTGATCTAAGATCTGCATACCGCCCCGTGCGGCTAGTGATAATTCTGAGATTAGATACTGCTAAATAGAGCAGCCTGTCGGTTTTTGCGAATAGCTTCAGAACTCTATCCCTTATGTATTTTTTGACCAGTTCTATTCTGAGGTCTCTTAGCATGTCATTTTTGCGGATGTACCATGGCACTTTGAAAAGTCTAATACTTACTGAAAACTTGAACGTTATTTAAAATAAAATTGGAGTTACTCTTTTATGCAGTTATAGTATGTGTTATATCTGCAATTTGGAGACACTGATAACTGAAATGGGGTTTCAGATTTTGTTCTTAACGGGCCAATAATTGAAATTTGTCCATTTTACATTTCTATGATTTGGTTTTGGTGGGTTCAAGTCACACACTATGGCTTTCGATACTTTACAGCTACCAGAAAATTTTTGTTTCGGTTTGTGGACTAGAGCATGAGCTCCAGCATTTATGTATATAAATAATCTATATATAATATCTTCGTTATTTTAATATAAATATATTACCTATTAACTGGTAATATTTTTTGCAAATAATATCTTATATGACAACTCTGTACTCTTACTACTTTAGTACGTTAGGTTTATGTATTGGCTAATTGCTAGCACTCTAAAAGTATGCTTTAAATATTTTTGAAATATGGTGAAGCTGTTTGATTGCTTGGGATTGATTTTATTTTGTTTAATTTATAAAGAAAAAAAAAATATCAACGAAATTAGTTGCTAAATAAAAACTTACAAAACTTGAAGTAATGTAAGAGTGGAAGTCACTATGAATAAAAAATTTAATTAAAACATAATTTGGATTACTAAAACGAAACTCTCAATAATTTATAAAACGAAAAATTTTAAAAATAAAAATGTTAATCCAATAAAAAAAAATATATAAAAATGTTTAGATTTGCAATAGATTTACATATCTCGAAGATGTGTAAAGTGAAAAAAATGTATAAATATTTCAAGCGCCAACTAAATTTAAATT